ATAAATCACTTTTTAAATGGAAGTTATGAGATTGCTATCTTCAATTATTTTCCCTTGATTAGTAAAAGTAGCCTTTGGGCAGAGACAAGTTTGCATGATCAAGAATCTAGCTGCCAAGCTGGATAACTGGCTGGTTGGTAGGTGCTCTTAAATCCTCAAGTGTTCAGTTAGTCACTTCTTAATAGGTTATAGCATAAAGCTGAATAATTAACACATGCAAGAATATTTACCTCTGTTAATAGCCATTTGAGCTGTTGTTGAATTGATCTTGGAAGCTTCCGCATTATCTTCCTTTTTGTTGAATTTACTGGTAAAATTAGCATCTGCAGAATGTATGAAAAAAAGGGAGTTACTGTGCAGTTGACAATGAATTGTGAAATCAGATGATTGTGGTTAATATAGAATGAAGTTCAGTTTCCAGCCTTTGTAATCAGTTATATGGCATTGTAGCTGATTACAGCAGGCTTCAATTTTTGGGCATAAATTTTAAAATCCAGGGTCCACAAGCTTGCCTTATTGGTAGCACTTTCCACATTCTGGGTGAATCCACATTCCCAGTGAATCCAAACATGCCCTTAATGTTTCATTGTTTAAATCCCCTTAAGATGCTTCTTTTGTCTTCTTTAACTAGACATAGGAGTTGATGAAAAAATGGCTACATCTTTCTGCTTTTGCATTTCTTATGACATCAATTCAATTCATCATGTCATGCAAAATATGTGTAAACATCCAACCTAAAACCAATTGGCAATAGGTGGAGTCATCCAAGTTGTCCACAGGTATCCCTTTTGGTATTCAGTAAAAATGTACCTTACTGTATGAGATATTCAGTAAAATGTATCTATAACTTTTTTTGCTTTTGGTATGGATATTTTCTTTTCCAGAAATCCGCGGTCTTCCAGCCAGCCAATAACAAGTGAAGATAATGTTATTGACAATGGTTGGTGGAATTTATTTGACAATTTATGGATTATCATTAGTGAGATGAATGGAAAGGGTCCAAGTAAGATGTTACCAAAGATGGCATCATCAGTTGGTCCTTCTCTTGGGCAAAGAGCACGTGGCTTGGTGGAATCTCTGAACATTCCTGCAGCTGAAATGGCTGCGGTAGTTGTATCTGGAGGCATTGGTACTGCATTGGGTGGAAAGCAAAGCAAAAGTGTTGATAAAGCCATGGCTTTAAGAGGGGAGAGGTGTCCACGAATTGTATTTCGACTTGTAATTTTATACCTCTGCAAATCTCCTCTAGAAAAAGCATCGAGATGCGTACAACAGGTCATCTCACTTTTGCCTTTTCTTTTGGTTGCCGATGATGAGCAAAGCAAGAGTAGATTGCAGCTTTTTATCTGGTACTCTTACTCTATGCTGTCATTTTGACTAGTTTATGATGTGAATAAGTTATCTCCATGTCTTGTAGTCCTAAAATATTTTATTTTCAATTGACATTGACATTATGGCCAGGTCTTTGCTTGCTGTAAGATCCCAGTATGCAATATTAGATGATGGTGCTCGTTTTCATGTTATTGCCCACTTGATTAGAGAAACCGTAGTCTGTGGGAAGTCAATGCTAGCTACTAGCATGGTGGGAAGAGATGACTCCTCTGATTCAACCAGCACCTTAAAGGAAACAAGCTCAATTCACAATCTCATTCAGAAGGATCGAGTTCTTGCTGCGGTGTGTCCTAAACTTAGTATTTAGCATCTGTCGTTATGAATGTTTGCTGTTTAATTGCTTGAACCAAAAGTTTTTTTCTTTCTTTCTTTATTCTTCTTCTTCCTGGCAGTATACTTTCCTGCTTCATTTATTACATCTGGTCCACCCTTAGTAGTTAGAAGTTCCATGAATATTTTATTATCCTAATTTTTTTTTTTTGGACTGTATACTTTAGAAATTTGATGGAAGAAACAAATGCTAAAAATAATTGTGCAAAGATATCAAACAATAAAATGTATTATAGTATCTGCCTATTGCATGTACTGTCCCTCAATTAGGCAAAAATGCAAGCCTCTTAATTTTTTGGAAAACCTTGCTTTATGTTCACTAGTAATGTATTTATTAATTGACATGATGTTTTTTTATCTTCTCTTTTTCATTATCCACCATTCAACTCTCTAGATTCATGTTTCAGGTTTTTGAAGAGGCAAAGTATATAAGGACATTAAATTCTGATCGTAGCAGGCAGTTACAGGAGCTTTGTGCCAGGATGGATGAAAATTCTTCTGTTGAAATTAATAATAAGGAAGCATTTGAAAATGAGATACAAAATAGCTTGAGTGCTATTCTTTCTTCAGATGAGAGCAGAAGGGCTGTGTATCTACTAACTCACGAGGAGCATCAGCAAAATGTTGCTGTAAGCAGTGTCTTAAATTGTTATTGCAACAATTTTTTTGCCTGTGCTAACCCTTTTAATATATATATATATATATATATTATTCTTTCAATTTTCTGGAATCTTGTATTTGTATTTGTGTAAAGAAATAAGCTTTTCTTCAACAGGAAAAATGG